GACAGGGAGTCTCGTAGGCAGAGCTTCCGCTGATGGCTTCAACGGGCGTGGCCCAGGTCAGTTCACAGGGAGACGGATGGAGCCCAGGTGGGCTCACACAGCCAGTGTCCATTCTCAGTCCCCAGCGTTTCCACCAGAAAACGGACATAACTTGGTCTGTTTCCAATTTCGGGCGGGGTGTGGCTGAGTCCTCAGCCTCTGCAGCACCCCCTGGGGTCCTCTTGGTTCTTGGCTGGTGGGCGAGCTGGTGGGAACATCCGAAATCGCGCCGCTCACATGTCTGGTGCGTCAGCACGTGTGGCTGGAAGGCCATGCTCAGCTGAGCCTCCTGATGGGAGCACCGTGGGGGTCCCTCCGCGTGGTGGCCGTGGGGTCCCTGGACTGTTGACCCAGGACTGCCTTCCCTGGAGCTGGAGTCCCAGGAGAAACTGCTGGAAGCCAAGCTTTTCCCCAAGGCCACCCAGCTTCCCTTCCCAACCCCCTGGGGGAGGAGTAACAGGCCGCCCCTGACTCGGGGAGAGGACACAGGTGCCCCCGGGGCAGAAGACGCATGTACAGGCTCCTTGTAGACAAGCTTGCAGATGGGAGATATTGCACCACCTTTGGAAAAACACTGCACCGGAGCCTGGTCGGTCTGTCTCAGCGCCTTGCAGACATACAACACGCATGCCAGTAATCGAATGCATGTCTCGACTATGGCCCTCGAGGCACCTTTACACAACGAAGGGCTCGGCCCACAGAGAGCTGTGTGTAAAGTCAGTATCCGAGTCGCCTCGTCCGCAGAGCGGGCCCGGCGCATGAGGAGCCTGAGATGTTCGAGCGGGAAGTGTGTTGGGAAGCGCGGGAGAGAGAGCGGCGCTCACCCGCTCACTCACACACAGAGCGTGGGCTCTGTCCTTTGCAGGAAGACGATGCGTTTCATTTTGCCCCCCGGTTGCTATGGTATCTGTCACGTTATTTATAACCGCGTCTGTTAGCTGCATCCATGGACGGGAGAGGCTTTCCTGCTCTAGGAAGGAAGTCGGGCAAACAGGAGGCTCCGCATCCGGCCGGGCGGGCCGGGCCGGGTCCCTGCCTGTCTGTCCCCCTGCCTCCCGAGTTGCCTCTCCAGTTCCCAGCACCCCTCAGAAGTGGTCGTGCCTGCATGCTGCACCCCGTCCCCTCCACCCCCGCCCCATAACTGTGTCAGTTCCTGCCTCGCCTGGTGGGGGAAACAGTGGGAGGCGAGGCCCCAGGCCCACGGGCTTCCCGCTGAGATGGTGCGAACCACAGCACCCAGAACCACCTGGACAGTGCGGGTCTGTTTCCGTGTCTCTGTGCCGGTGACAGGCTCTCCCCTGCTGCGCCCCCTCCCTGCTCCGTCCTGGGTGTTCAGGTATGAGCGCCTCCTCCTCCGAGCCCCAGCCTGGACACCCTTCAAACAGGGCTGTCTGAGGACAGAGACCCGGCCACAGATGTTGCCAAATGCTGTTGGGCAAATGGATGGACCAATGAGTAAGCAGGTTTCAGAACCAGCCACGGAGCCCTCAGCATGCCCTTCGACCTCTCCGAGTCTCTGTGCTCATCTATAAACACGGAAGTCGCCCGGCTGGTGTGGCCCAGTGGTTGAGCACCGACCTATGAACCAGCAGGTCACAGTTGGATTCCAGTCAGGGCACATGCCCGGGTTGTGGGCTCCATCCCCAGTAGGGGGTGTGCAGGAGGCAGCCGATCAATGATTCCCTCTCATCACTGATGTTTCTCTCTCTCTCTTCCTCTCCCTTCCTCTCTAAAATAAAATAAAAAGGAAGTCAACAGAATCTATGATTTTTTATTGAATCTATGATTTTTAATCCTGCCTTACCAGCCACACAGACTTTATCCAGATGTGCTCCTTCAGTGCACGTCTATTAAACATCTTCTGTGTGTGAGGTGTCGGGGGTTCTGTGGGCCGAGGGTCCCTGCTCTCATGGAGCTGGCCAGCCAGGGAGGTGAGCCATGTGCCCGGGCGAGGGCCTGGCTCCGGGCTGTGACCGTGACAGTGGGGACACTGATGGGCCCTTGTGCGGAGTCAGGG